CCGGGACCCCGAGCCGCGAGCCCCCCGCCGCCATGGACCCCAAGGACCGCAAGAAGATTCAGTTCTCGGTGCCCGCGCCTCCCAGCCAGCTCGACCCCCGCCAGGTGGAGATGGTAAGGGGGCCGCGCCCCACTCTCGCAGGCGCCCCGAACACTCGCCGGGCTCCTCTGAGGTCCCGGGCGCTGCGGCTGTGGACGGGTCTGGGGTTGGGGCACCGGCTCGCCCGGACCCGACCCGGCCGGAGCGCGGATGCGCGCGGGAAGTTCGCTGGAGTCTCCGGCAACTTTTCCCGGGACAGCAGGCCAGACTCCGCGGCCGGAGAACTGCGGGCAGCCAGTCGGGGGCCCGAGGCTGGGCTTGCCAGGGAAGGGGGACCATTCTCTGGGCCCCACACGGTCTTCTCCATTTCTAGGCTACCACCGGCACCCCTGGGCCCTGGGCCCAGCCCGGGCGGGTCGGCGGTCAGGTCAGCGCAGGCTGGCCCACCGCCCTGCCCCTCTAGGCCCCCGCGGGGCTCTGGGCCGGGCCACCCAGCAGGTTTAGACCTCCTTGTGCTGTCAGACCCCAGACAGGGCCTCCGCGTGGGGGCCAAGGGGGTCCAGGCATCCCCGCCCGACCTCTTCACTGACACTGAGACTCCTCAGTCTCCGGGGCTTGGAGGCCCCCAGAGGTGAGAGTCCGGGACACAGAGGGAGAAAAGAACTCTTCCTCCCGCGCTCCCCGCCACCCCCTCCGCCCGCAGCGAGCCAGCCACGTTCACTCCTTGCTGAGATGCCACCGACTGCCAGCAGGGCAGTGAGGGTGGACCAAGTCCTGTGAGGGAAAAGAAGGGACATGAGAAGAGGGTCTCAAAGGCAACGTGGGGAGCTTGGCAGGGGAGGTGGCACTTTTAGTTGAATTCACCTGGTTCTTTTGTGCATTTCCCTGGAGCGCAGAGGGAACCTAATTAACTGACTGCTGCTCTGATTGCCAAGCGGCGAGAGGGGCAGTCACTGGGGGGCTCAGTGTCCCCACACTCATCACCCCCTCCTTCACCCTGGCTCCTGTACCCAGGAAAGCAAGTTTTTGTCTATTTCTCTTTGTGAGTCCTGGGTCAAGAGTTCTACAGCCTGAGAGGGCCCAGACCCCCAGAGAACCCCCAATCCCTGGTCTGAGCTTCAGTGTAGTGCCACACTTAGCCTCCCTCTGAATTTCTTTGGAGTCCTTGACTGATCTTTGGTGGACAGGACGGGCCACAGGGGTGGCTAGTGGGCATCACCATGGTCAACTCCAGCTCCCTTGCTGGAGAGGAAGGGCTTTGGAGGGGAGGATGTCCACTCTAGAGTAGCCATCGAGTGGGAAAAGCATGAACTGGAGTCAGTGGTGGGTTTTTCTCATCCTTTCTCTGCCTTGGCATGCTGTGTGACTTTAAGCGCTTTGTGGAACCTCTCTGAGCCTTGGGTTTTCAACTCAGGAAAACAAGGGGGCTGGGTGAGCCCTACAGTTCCTTTCAGCTTTGACTGTCTTTGATGCAAAGGTTCCCTGAGAACTCCAAAGCGCTGTAGGTTCCCTGCTCTCTGCGGTAGGGAGGGTGGTAGGGTGGGCTGCTAATGTCTGCCCTGTCTGTCCACCCCCTTCTCTTTTTCCTTCTCCTCAGATCCGACGCCGGAGGCCAACCCCTGCCATGCTGTTCAGGCTCTCCGAGCACTCCTCACCAGGTGGGCCCCCTAGCCTTGTCCCTACCTAATTCTGACGCCCTTTGGGGGCTCCTGCCAAGTCCCCTGAGTAGGGGATGGAGAACAAGTTAGGGGCAGGCGGGTGATTTCTGGGAGCCCCAACTCACTGGGTTTGTTTATTGACCCAGCACGTTCCCTAAGCTAGGAAAGAAAAGACACACTTTCCCTTACCCCAGAGACGGAGCCTTTGGGGATATCATTCTTATTTTGTTTCTCTCTTTCCTTTTCCCTTCCTCTGTGGTTCTCTGGGGACTCCCCAGAGGAGGAAGCCTCCCCACACCAGGTGAGTTTCCTGGGGCAGCAAAAGGAGAGATTCCGGAGCCCTTTGGGGTGGGGTGGCAGGGTTGCTTCCGAGGCTACACGGGGAGCCACCCCCACTGGGAGGATGTATTAGCACATCAATGGGCACCTCCAGAGCCGAGGGGCCCTCCCTTCCTCGCTCAGACTCTGGGAGGGCCTTCAGCACCTTGGGTCCTGCTGGGAGGAGCTTATGGTACCCCTCCCCATCCCTGGCACCTCATCTTTGGTGAGGGTCAGCAGCAACTGGACCCATCAGCAGAGATAGGGTTGGCCTGGGGGACAGGATGGGAGAATGGAAGAAGGGAAGTGTCCTCTGGTGAGCCCCTTTAACCTGGCTCTCCCTCTGGCAGAGAGCTTCGGGAGAAGGGCACCACATCAAGTCGAAGAGATCCAACCCCTGTGCCTACACACCCCCCTCGCTGAAAGGTATCTCCCCACCCTTTGGCCTGGCTGACCCTGACCCCTGGATTTGGGCTGACCCGGGTGGGTGGAGGAGGTGACATGTTGAGCTTTTGACAGTGGTGAGGGAGTGCCTTGTGTATCTCTAACCTCTTTAGACCGATTCTTTCTGAACTTGACCTTGTGAAAATGGAGCCCAGAGGCTGAGAGGGGCAGGAAGGTCCTTCCTATCACCCATGATCACCCATGGTGTGAGCCGGCTGCAGATTAGTAGGCACCAACATAAAGAGACTAAGTGGGGTGCCTTTTGCTGGCAAGTGCTGTCAGACCCCCTCACACTCCTCACCACCTCAAGCACCCACTTTGTTTGGGCTACCCCCCTATCTCACCTCTCCCTGGGGAGACCTGCACACTGGCTTCTTGAGCCTGCTTTTCCTTCCAGTTTACCAGGCCTCACTGGTGGGCCTCAGGAAAATTAGAGGAGCCAGGTGTGGCCCCGGCCCCCTGGGACCTTGTGCTTCAGGGTCAAGGAGAGTTAGAGGAGAGGTGTTTAAGCCGGGCCTTGAAGTGGACTGGGACCTGCGGGCCAGGTGAGGACGAGGGAAGAGGCCTGCAAAGAGGAAGAGGTGAGGAATCACAGGGGTCTTCGGGGCCATCCTGGGGCCTTGGCTTGCAGCAAGGGACTGTGTGGGAGACACACCTGGATGAGGAGATGGGGCAGGTGGGGGTCTCTTTCTATCTGAACCTAAGATGCCTACCTACCTTCCCCTCCTACTCTGCCCTCTTCCCACCTGGCCCTTCCCACCTGTCCAGCCCTCTTTCCCAGGAGACCGGAAGGGTGTGCTGAGAATTCTCTAGGGAAGGGGGATTTAACGAGTTCCCAGCACCTGCCCAGGTCAGCAGGTGCACCTGTCAGCCAGCCTGCCAGGCTGGTAGCTGGGAAGAGAGGAGCGAAGGCCAGGGGCCCACTCTCCTCCCCCGGAGAGGTCAGGAAGGGCTGCAGTAGGTGGTGTGCAGGTGGGTGGGAGCACTGGGAAGGACCTCCCACCTGTGAGGCAGAGCAGGCTGAGGGAGGAGGTGGCATCTTATCAAGGGAGACTGGAGATCTCTCTCCTCACTCTGGGCTGGAATGAATGTACACCTCCTGATTGGGAGCTTGGAGAGGAGAGCTGGGGTGAAGATGGGGTGAAGAGAACATCACAGTGCCTCCCCAGGGAATCCTGCATGGGCCAGAAAGTCTCTATCCCATTGCCCCATTGGCCTGGGCCTTGGGGAGGGTGGGGGGTAAGTCAGGGCAGTGAGGAGGGGCCAGGCAAGGGTGAGCAATCTGGGGGCTTTGCTAGGGATCTCCACCTAGGCTAAAAGGGAGACTTGGGGTCAGGGGTTCAGGGCCCCCAAAATGGAGATAGAGGCAGAGAAAGCTGGGAGGGTGAGGGGGGAACCCAGCATGCCCTGGAGACAAGGCATGGGGTGCTCATGGGCACGGCTCTGCATACACCCATTATTATGAGCGAGGCTCAAGAACTCAGCTCTCCTGGGGGGGCCCTCTGGTGCTGCCACCTCTACTCCCCTGTACCCCTTCACTCAGAGACCCATACCGGAGGGCACTTTGGCAGGCCGCAGCCCCTTTCTGGGCAAGGGAGCACCCCTGCCAGGGGTGGGGCTTATAGAGGGAGAATTCGGGGGCCCCTGGGAGAGGTGGGCAGCACGGAGTCACGGTGGAGGGGTCCTCACCAAGGCCAACTCTCAGACTTGGCTCAAGGTGAAGTTTTGCTGAGTCCCCAAGGCCAAGGCAGGGCGATTTATTGCGCTTTTATTGCCTGGGTAGCTTGCCCAAAGGCAGCGGGAGGCACTGGGCTGGGAGCGGTCTGCAGGGTGGGGCAGAAGCACACACAATGTGCCCTCTGTGCCTGTCCCGAGTTGGCAAGAGCACGGTGCCCTGCTCACTGTACTGGAGGTTTCCAGCCTGGATCTACCCTTCTGGGCTGGCCGAGGGGAGGGCCTGCAGCCGCCCCACCCCGGCTCCTCAGCATCTTATCTACGGCTGTGAATTTAATGACCCAGGTACCCTAAAACCCCACCAGCTCCTGTTCCCACTGTGCCTTGGCCCAGTCCCTCCTCACAGTGCCCCGTCCACCTCTGGCAGTGCCCAGAGTCCCCTAGCTCTTGCCCCATTCTCTTACCTCTCCCCGCCATTCTTTCCGCCTCTCAGAAACTTCTCCCTAGCTACCACACTGATCCCTTCCTAGGCTGTCCAGCAGGCTTTGGAAGTGTTGCGGGCTGGGTGGTGTTTGTTGCTTTCTAGGTCACCAGAAAGGGAGCTGAAAGCTTAGGGGTGAGGGTCAGGATGGGGGGCTGCCTAAGAGGACATCACATCCCCAGGCCTGGATTTCACTGACCGAAGGCTATGATGTTCTCAGACTCAGAACTCTTCCTAACCCCTTGGATCTAGGGGCAGGAGTATGTGGTCAGTGCCCAAGCCCTGGATGGGGGGCAGCACTGGGGTGAGCAGTGGGCATTCCCCCAGAAATAAAAAGGGACAGAGTTCGCCAAGCTCTGGTCCACAGACTCTGCCTTCTGCCCAGGGCTGTAGCTGGTGGGCACAGCTGTCAGGACCCCGTCCTTGGAGAAGTAAGCTCCCCAGCCAGAGAATGTTAAGCTGCTGCTGTGCCCGTCTGGTCTTGCCCAGCTTTACACCTTAGGGGGTAGAGGAAATGTCAGGGGCCAGCCTTCTCTGTCAGGGGCCAGCCTTCCCTGCTGCTTCTGCCCTCGTCTAGCCCCGCACAGGCCGACCTATAATCTCCAGCCTCTGAACTGGACCCCTGAGCGGGTTAGCTGTGCCCGGGCCCCTGGGAAGGAGGCCAGCTCCTCAGGCTGCTTTTCGGGCCTGGCTGACCCTGTCCGGTCTGGGTGCCCTGTGCCAGCCGTGCAGCGCATTGCTGAGTCCCACCTGCAGTCCATCGGCAACCCGACCTCGGAGGAGGAGGATGAGCTGGGTGAGCTTCGGGAGCTGGGCTACCCCAGGGAGGAAGAGGAGGATGAGGAGGACGAGGACGATGAGGAAGAAGAGGAGGAGGAGGACAGCCAAGCCGAAATCCTGAAGGGCTACAGGGGACCTGGTAAGATGAAGAGCAGGAAACCTGGCTTCCCACCCATGGGGGTGTCCTCTATGGGGGTCCTAGAACACTTCCCGCTTACAGCTTCTCACACAGGAAAACTGCAGTCACACCCCAAAGACTTGCCCATCCTGTCACTCCACAGGAAGACTCACTCGGCTTTCTTGAGACTGGGGCGCTCCTTTCTCCAGTCTCTCCAAATTAGGTTCCTCCTAATACCGGGGACCCTTGAACATGGCTTGAATTTTGTGGGTCCACTTACATTCAGATTCCACCCCCCCACCCTTAGGTTCTAGAATTTATGAATTCAACTAGTAACAGGTACTGGTTGATCCCTGGATGCTGAACCCGCAGACCCTGAGGGCTGACTCGTAAGGGACTTGTGCAGCCTCTGATTTTGGTACCCCTGGGGTCCTGAAACCAGTCCCCTGCGGATACCAAGGGGATGACTGTATTTCCTTTTTTTTAAAAAAAGATTTATTTATTTATGCATACAGAACTGTGGTATAAGCCAGAGGCGCAGGGGCAGTGAGAGGATTCTCCAGAGACAGAGCGGGGAGCAGGACAGGCAGAGTACACTGCCCGACAAAGTACACTGTGAGGGGGTCAGCCGGCGGGTCAGGAGAGGTCTGCCGGCCATGTGGGCCACCTCCGGGGCAAGGATCAAACTCGCACTGAAGTGGCTGCAGCCAGCTTGCAGTTCCGTGTCCTAACCCGTTGTGCCACCAGGGAGGGCCCTGGACAACTGTATTTCTTAGAAAGTAAAAGCTGCCCTCAGGTTTTTGACTGTGAGCAGGTCAGCGTCCCTAACCCCTGAGTTGTTTAAGAGTCAGCTGCGATTCCTCTCTTCCCTAAGCATCAAGGCAAGGCCATGTGAGACTGGCGGTTAGACCCAAGAAGCGAGCATGGAAGCATCCGAAGCAGTGAGGGGGGATGAGGCGGTGCAGGGGTAGAGGACTGAGGCTGCCCAGTGCTGTCAGCACTATCCTAGATGTGGGACACGGGCTCTGTCTGGAGGCGGAGGCTGGTTGCTCTGTGCTCTCCTGGAGCCAGCTGCGGTTTCTCCCCTTCTCCCTTCCTGTGCTGGGGTGAGAGGGTGCCCTCTAGTGTCTCCACGGAGAACCTAGGCTTCTGGTCCTCTGTGCCTCCATGGTAAGAACAAAAGGGAACAGGAAGACATCCAAAACCTCCACAGAAGGCCTCACAGTAAGAAGCCCCAGGCCCAAAATTCTCCACAGAGGGTCCCAAGGCCCAGGAAATTTCCAGACAGGAAGATCTCAGCCTCCCCATGGTTGCCTGGCCATGAAAGGCCGCCGCATCTGTCCTTCCTAGGACATGTGAAACTCTGGTCCTGTTATTTTGGGGGATGAAAAGTAGCTAACTGGGCCCTCCTTGGTGGCGCAATGGGTTAAAGCACATCTACTGCAGCCACTCCAGCTTGAGTGAGGTCCCTGGCCAAGGAGGGGACCCACAGGGCGCAGCAGACCTCTCCTGATCCACCCGCTGCTCCCCTCCGCAGTGTATTTCAGTTCATCAGCCTGTTCTGTTCCCCACTTGGTCTCTGGTGAATCTCTCACCCTCCAAACCTCTGGTCCATACCCCAATTCTATATGCATAAATAAATCAATCTTTAAAAATAAGAAAGAAAAAGAGCTAACCACTCCTACTTATCTGGGTGGTTCTTGCACCCAGATAAAATGGCTTGCATCTCCTGTCTGCATCTCTGGCAGTAGCTCCAGCTAGAAGAGTTGAGTCAGCTCCCACTGAAACCCCAGAGCAGAGAAGAGGTGGGAGAAGACTGCTCCCTCAGGAATCAGTAGATAACAGAGTGAAATGACAAGGCAGTGTCAACTGCCCGCTCTGGTGTACACATGGCTGCCCAGGAGAAACAGCCACGTGCCCTGGGGCCTCTCTGAACTGCTTTTGGGTGATGGGCCTGGGCTGGATGAGGTATTGACTATCATTTTATTTAAGGGGAGCTACATAATTTCTTTGTTATCAGTCCCTCCAGAAAGGTCGCAACTGACTTAACTAAGCCATACATAGCCCATCGGAAGCGCCCTATTCCAGCACTGTCCACTGTGCATGATGTCCTCAGAAAGCTTAGTCTCAGCTATCACAGACCCAGCCCATGCTCTGGACAGCCAGGGGGTCAGCAGAGCTTTTTGTTTTTTTTTTTTTAAGATTTATTTATTTTTTTATACATACAGAGCTGGGGTACAGGCCAGAGGTGCAGGGGCAGTGAGAGGATTCACCAGAGGCAGAGTGGGGAGCAGAACAGGCAGACTGAGGAAGTACACTGCTGAGGGAGCAGTGGGCGGGTCAGGAGGGGTCTGCCAGCATGTGGGTCAGCTCCAGGCTGGGATGGAACTCATGTGGAAGTGGCTTTAGCTTCTTAGTGCTGTGCTTTATCCGGCTGCACCACCAGGGAGGGCCCAAGCCTGTTGTGTTTTTTTTTAAGATTTATGTATTTGTGCATACAGAACTGAGATACCCAAGCCTGTATTTTTAACCCTTCTTTCTTATCCCCAGCTGGGCAGAAGACAACCTGTGGTCAGGGTCTAGAGGGGCCCTGGGAGCGCCCACCTCCTCTGGATGAGCCTCAGAGAGATGGAAGTTCTGAGAACCAAGTGGAAGACCAGGCTCGAAGTGGTGAGGCTTGGAAGTCGGGAGTGGAGAGTGGGGCTGGGGTCCTGGTGAGTGAGACCAGACTCTGAGTCCCTCTGCTTGCCTTACAGAGCCTGGGGAGGAGCCACAGCACCCTGAGCGCGGCACATAGGCACCCAGTCTTGCATCTCCCAGGAAGGAAGTAGAGGGGACATCGTTGTTCCCCAGAAACCCACTCTGTCCCTGCCCTGTTTCGTACTCTTTCCCTCTTGCTAGGGCTGCGGCTTCTGACTTCTAGAAGACTAAGGCTGGTCTGTGTTTGCTTGTTTGCCCACCTTTGGCTGATGCCCAGAGTCTCTGGGCACTTGCTTCCTGATGCCTACCCCTGCCAGTCATTCCCGCATTCACCCAGGAGGAGGCAGGATGAGTTTGTGTTGGCAACAGTAAATAGGGGATAAAGGTTCCTTTGCATTTCCCCCCCCAGACCCTCTCCGCTGGGCACAGGAAACCCACAGGGCAGGACCCTAAATCTGGGGAAATGGGATGCTGAGAACCTGTATGTGCCCTTAGACCTTACCATTCCCTCTCCTATTCCAAGTCCACACCCCTCACTGGCTTCTACCGGGACCCAGGCTTCAGGCATCCTTCTCTACAACCCCAACATTTTGGACAACTTCTGCTTCTCACCCCTGCTCTCCTGCCTGGGCGCCTGGAAGATGGACTGGCAGAGGCTGCTTTGTTGCGTTTTGTTTGTGCTTTGATGCCAGGAATGCCGCCTAGTATACCTCTTTGGGGGGGGCACAAAGGTGGGGGGCTTGTCCTCCAGCTGCTCTGGCCCCTTCCCCTCTTCCCTGACTCCAGGCCTGAACTGCTCCCATGCTGTAATAAATCTTTGTAAATAATCTTCTGTGAGTCCTTATTTTTTTTAAGATTTAATTTTATTTGTTTATGTATATAATAACTGGGGTGTGCCAGAGGTGAGGGGGTGAGGATGAGAGAATTCACCAGAGATAGAGTGGGGTGCAGAACAGGTGGATCAACTGAAATACACTGCTAAGGGGAGCTATGGGTGGGTTAGGAGAGGTCTGCTGGACCATGTGGGTCAGCTCCCTGGCAGGGGATCGAACCCATGCTGAAGTGACTGGCAATAGCTTGATAATGCTGAGACTTTAATAACCCGCTGTGCCACCAGGGAGGCCCCTCTGTGACTCTTCTTTGAGGGGAAAGAGGGAGGAGGCAGTAATGATTTCCCGATGTAGATGCCTTCTAAGGGCCAGGGGCTGAACCCTATATCTAGGCCTCTAGTCTACTATTTTTTTTTTTTAAGATTTATTCATGCATACAAGAACTGGGGTAAGAGGTGAGAGGATTCACCAAAAACAAAGTGGAGAGCAGAACAGGCACATCTACTGAAATACACCCCTGAGGGGCGCAGGGCAGTCACGAGAGGTCTGCTGCGCCATGTGGGCCAGCGCCCTGGCCGGGGATGGGTGCTGCAGTGGCTGCTGATTGCGCCATAGTGCTATCTTTCACCCTTTGTGCCACGGGGGAGGGCCCAAGTGTAGTAGTTCTTGCAGATAAACTGGGAGCACTCTCAGGAAGCACAAGAGAAGTCCAGATGCAGCCAGGGATGGCTGAAAAAGGCAGGTGGGGGGACCGCACTCCGTCAAGACTTGTGGATTTCTCCCAAGGATGGGTCCCCCCCACCCCCACAGCCTCCCTTCGTGAAGTTCCCTTCTAGGGCGCCAGTCCGATGTACCCAGTGGCTAGTTGCCCCGGGCTTCTTTGCCCTCTTGGGCCCCAACTTTCGCTGTAGCCCCCACTTCCGGCCCTTGGAAGCGGGGCCCAGAGCTTGGGGGCGGAGGCTGCGGCCAGGGGGCGGAGCCACTGGGCTCCGCGCCTCCCGGTTCGCTCCCGGGGGCGGCTCCGCGGCGGAAGTGGCGCCTCCGGGAGATCCCCTTCCGCTCAGAGGCGCGGCCGGGGCCTCCGAGCCGGGTTGCGGCCCAGGCAGGACGAGCCGGGCTGTGGCTGACATGGAGCAGGTGGGTCCCGGCGGCGGAGCCAGGGCTGTGTGCGCCCAGCGGAGCCCGCCTCCCCGCCCGGTGTCCGTCCTGGGTTCCGTCCCACCCTCCCCACAGCCGCCGCGTCCTAGGTTCCGCCCCCTCTGCGCCGCCTCGCTCCGCCCCGCGCCGGGTTTGGGGTCTCCGGCGCCGATCCCCCGCGTTCCGGCCCACCCGAGGTGGACCGGGTGAGGCTGTGGCGGAGCGCGCCCCCAAACTTCCCTCGTGGCGTGAGGGGAGAAGCGAAGGCACGGTGGCGGGGTCCTAAGGACGGGCGCTGAATATGGGGAGGGGTCGGGACCCCAGAACAGAACGAGGAGGAAAATGTTCCTACACGTTCCGGTAGGTCTGCGTCTCCCTGTCGTTCGGTCTCCCCCACTTCCTTTGGAACCGAATCACTTCCTAATTGACATCAAAGGGGCTCTTTAAAGTCTCTTTCCTGAGTTCTCGGAAGTGCATAACACCAGTGACATTTATTCCTAATTAACATAGTTGACGCGTCTTCCCTTTTTTGGCTTTCTCAGCTTCAGTGTCTTATTTTCTTCCTACTGCTCTGACAGTAGAAGACCCGGTTCCCATTGTTCCTCCTGCCCGGCCTCTCTGCACTGCAGCTGGGTGGCTTCCTCTGCCAGCTACCCTCGGTACTGAGTCACCTAAATACCCGAAAGACGCCCAGATTCACATCTTCCGCGCAGCCCCTTCCCGGACACCTGCCCTGGCTGTTCAGCGCCATTTCGGCTGGTGTCTGACTGGAAGTGGCCTTCCCCCTGCAGACCCATCATTCCTCCTCCACACCATCCCAGCCAGAATCTTGGGAATTGTCACACATGTCTTCTCCTTTAATTCCCACATCTAAAAAGTGCCCGTCCCAGCTAGCTCCCTCAACATGCTTCCAACCCTGTCTGCACCTCATCTCTTCTCTTACCCCTCTTTAGATGTGTTTCTCCCCAGGGTGATTGGAGTGGCTTCCCAGCAATTTTTAGTTATGGCTCTCTGCACCCCATTCTCCAAATTGTAACTCCTGTGATTTCAAAACACAAGTCTCATGTAGTGTTACTTTCTTGCTTAAAACCCTTTGCCAGTCAGTGTTTATGGGGAAAAGCTGAATCGCTAACACAATTTACAGAGCCCTCCGTGAACTCACCTCTTCCCTGTGAATCTCCAGTGTGCATCGTAAAGTGCTTGCCCAGCTCTTGTTATTTCAGGTCTCCTTGCCTTGCACACACCACAGCCCCTCTGCCCGAAAGGCCTCTTCTCCTCTTGCCTGCCAGGCCATCTTCTTGTCCTGCTGGTCCACTCGGGCAGCAGGGCCACTGGATCACCTTCCCCACCTCCCGAGGCTGAATGTCGCCCCTCTGTGTCCTGCTGCACCGTCCATACAGCAGATGGTTGAGAATGCAGACTCCCGAATCAGACTTCTGCGATTGTTCAGGACTAGGTCTGTGTCTCACTGTCTACTGATACTACCTGGTGCTCTTGATGAAGAAATGGTACCTTCATTTCTTCATTTCTGAAATGGAAACAGTGATGTCCCTGCCCCACAGAGTCACTGTGAAGGTTAAAGGAAACAACGTGTGGCCTTCAAAGCAGTGTGTGCGTACAAGTAGCTGTATGTTACCTGTTGATGCTCATAGGAAGAGCATGGAGAGCGGTTGGTTCTGAACTTCATGAGTTGCTTAAGGATAGGTATAAGGACTTCTCACCCTACCCCAGAACCTGGCTCTTTGTCAACAAATAAAATGCTGGTGGGTGAGGCATTGGGAGCAGGAGCTGAGTTTTTTAAATGAGAATTCAAAAGACCCAGACTTGAAGTCACTCTGCTCAGAAAGTTTCTTGGAATGGGTCACTGTACACAGCAAACCTCATTCCAGACAGATGTACATGGAACTCGGAACTCGCAGGAGACATAGACCGAGGGCGGTTTCCCAGAGGAGTGGGAGGATGAGCTTAGCAGAGGAAGGGAGAGACTGGGATGGCCTGGGTGGGCTCAGAAAACGGTGCGCTGGGTTCTCTGACCAGCGCTCTAGGGACTGGGGTGGGGGCTAAGGTGGACCGGAGGGCAGAGGCAAGGGCTCCTTCCCTCACTTGACTATGAGGAGCTGTCCCCTTGGGTTATGAGCTGGTTCCCTGGGGAGGTTTGCAGGCCTGGTACCTGGTGTTTGGGGGAAGGCCCCCTGGGGTAGTCAGCACGCAGGCTTGTGTCTGGGCCTGGGCTTTAGACCAGATTCTGGGCTTTTGCCCTTTTGCCTGACAGGCCTGTTCCTCTTGCCTCTAACTGATGGAAGCTGATTCTTCAAGGCTGGGGTAGATGCCCCGTCCTGTGACTCTCCTGACCTCACTCATTCTGGCTGGGTCAGATGTCACTGCATTGGGGCCTTTGATTCTTAGCTCTTTTTGAAAGCACTCATCAAGCGTGGCTCTGTGCATTATTTGTCAGTCCTGGCTCCCAGACCCAGTGTCCCTGAGTGTCCCAGGGACCAGAACAGTGTCTGGTGTGCTGTGGGCACTTGGAACATGTACTGTGTTAAAGCTCACAAACCTCGACTTGTTTCATGGGGGCAGTGCAGGGAACACCAAAATTCCTATACGTCTGGCCGCTTGTCCTTATGCCACTGAGTGTTCAAGCTTGTTGGCTCCACCTTGCAGATGAGGGAATTGAGACTCAGAAGAGGGGAAGATCACGGTCTCTCAGCAGGGACTTCAACTGTCTCATGACTTCTGGTCCTTAGCTGTCTCGCAAAAACTGTGTCAGGGCCCTAGCCCCGCAACTGTCACGTCAGTGGACGGAGAACATGGAGGGCATCCCAGCTGCCCACTTGTAGGGCCCACTGGGCCTTTTCTGGCAGGGAAGAGGCTGACCCTGTTGTGTCAGTGAGGGCTGGCCTGGGGAGGAGTCTGCTGACCATCCCCAACCCTGTGGGGTCTTCCTTTGAGTGGGCTGAGAGGACCGACTGAGCTTGGAAGAGGGCTGGTCCTTTCCACTGACCTTATGCTGACCTTGGGCACTTGACCTCATTATCTCCCTGTTTCTCCAAGTAGCACTGAGAGGGCTACTGAGTGGGCCGGGGGGCCACAGACTCAGAGCTGGGGGCACCCCCAGTGTTCACGGGGCCTGGCGTGTGCTAGGGCAGGAGGGCTGAGTGGGTCTCAGCTCGTGAGGGCTTTCCGGGAGACTGCATGCTAGCGCCTCCCAGGCCAGGGAGGGGGCGCAGTGACGAATGCAGCTTCTGTTTTGATTTGACGCTCCCCTTTCCACTTCCCCAGAAAGAAAGGAGAAATGGAATGCAGCTTCAACTCTGACATCTTTTTTGTCCCTGCTGCCCCTTTCTCGTCGCCTTAAACCCCGAACCACTCCAGGGAACTCCCCAGACCCTCTGAGTGGGAAGAGGTTGGGGTCAGCTGGCCAACCACTGGCGCTAAGGCTGATGTTGCGCCCCCGAGCCCCGAGTCATGGGGGACGGGATCCGAGTCATGGGGGACGGAATGTGCGGGGCTGGCGGAGGCCAGGCCCCCCGCAGGCACTAAGCTCTCAGATTGGGCAGGCGTCACCCAGTCACCCACGCGCCGGCCGGCCCTAGCCGCACACTCCGGCCGTGCCCCGTACCAGCACGAGCTACTGTGGATTAAGCAAGGCCCTTTATTTCTAATCCTTCTACGGCTCTTGAGTTGGGCACATTCCTGTCCCCATTTCACACCTCACATGACTGAGGTTCAGTGCCACTCGGTCGTCAAGGACACTCAGCCTAATAAGCCTAATGGCTTTGGGATTTCGACTCCCAAGTCTGATGTCCACCCCCAGACCCACACCCCTGCTGCTGTTCAGGGTGGGCATACAGATCCATAGGTCAGTGAGCTTACTAGACGTGTACATGTCCAAGCACTGTGACCTGGGCCTTGTGGGTTCGAGAAGAGTTGGCTTGGAGCCCCGAGTCTAGCTGTGGGTTGGGGAGCAAAGAGCCAGAGTCCTGAGGTTTGGGATTGGGGAGCCTGGAGGGTTAGGGTGAGGTGACATTTGACCTGGGCTCTGAAGAGTTAAGAGTCTCCCACTCGAGGGGAGGAGTTGCTCCAGAATGAGGAAACAGGGAGCTGAGCCGGGAGGCAGCCATGGTGTGCCCAGTGGCAGCCAGCGGGGTGGGTTGTAATAGGGGAGAGGCATCAACTCCCATGGTGGGGAAGGTGCTGGGGGCTCTGAGGTAGGAGTCTTTACTCCTCCTTGACTCTCTAGCCAAGGAATTTGTTTTAAAGATTTTTACTTTTATGTATTTATTTATGCATACAGGAACTGGGGTGCAGGCCCGAGGTCTGGGTGGGGGGTAAGAGGATTCACCAGAGACAGAGTCAGGAGCAGAACAGGCAGATCTGCTGAAGTACACTGCTGAGGGGAGCAGCAGGTGGACAGGAGAGGTCTGCCGTGCCATGTGTGTAGCTCCCTGGCCGGGGAATGAACTTGTGCAGCTTTGGCTGGTGACAGCTTCATAGTGCAGAGACTTTAACCCCTGCGCCACCAGGGAGGCCCCCTACTCAAGGAATTTAACCAATCTCTCAGGGAAGGGAGGGGACCAATGATCTTGCCTGAGGGTGGCCAGGAAACCAGTGTCCCCTGCCCACTGGGGGAGGGTGCTGGGCTCTGGGCAGAGCCATCCACCAGCGGAGAGTGGAGTCCAACTCCGTGCCAGGTGGTTTGGACAGGGAGGAGCTGAGTGTGTACTGTGCCCTGTGCCCGTGCTGCTGTGGGAAAGGGAATGAGCCGTCTTTCAACTGTGAGCCTGGTACGGTCTGGGCGCTGGGCACACAGCAGTGAGCTAAGCACTGCGAGTCCCTATTGTGAAGTTTGCTTCCAGTGGGAGAAGACAGTCAGCAGCATAGACCAGTGCTCAGATAATACATCTGTGATGGTGAGTGCTGTGAAGAATAATGTAGAGAAAAGAGGTGGGGGGTGGTGGTGGCTGAAGAGAGAGTACAAGGTAGACCTCCCTGGAAGGACACTGACATAGAGATCACAGTGCAGGCAGCTGCAGAGATGTGGGAGAGAGCTTCAGGCAGCGAGGGCAGCAGGTGCAAGGGTCCTGGGGTGGGTGCGTGCTTGCTATTTCTGAGGAACAGAGGGGGACATTGTGGCTGGAGCAGAGAGTTCAGCGGGGAGGGGAGGCCTACAGGTTGTGGGGAGCTTTGCCTTTACTCTGAGGGAGCTGGAAGCTACTGGTTTGGGGCAGTGGTGGGGCATGGCCTGGCTTTTACTAGGACCCCTCTGACTGCTGTGCTGAGAATAGCTGTGGGAGAGGCAGGGAGATAGTCAGAGAGCTGTAGAGGAGAGATGATGGCTCAGACAGGGTGATGCGGTG